CCTGTTGTGAGGGTCCTGACTCCCAGTATGAGAGCCTCCCATCTATTAAATACTTCATATTTACCTGAAAGCACAGCAGGACTTACACTGGGAAAAACACTGAACTAAAGCACAAAGTCATCCTGATCAAACTTTTTCTTTGAAATCATCTCAAATCAGCTTCTAATAGCCATTTTCTGTCTCCACAGACACAAACATTAACAGCTCAGCCATGGTTGAGCTGTTACCCAAATATCTTTTATATCCTTGGCTTATTTTATGCTTTTTGAAGGCCTCAGGAGAACTAATTACCATTAGCCAATCTGACATTCTGCCTTTCATTGACTAAACCATGGCTCTATCTAAAAACGTCAAATTGGTAAGGACACTTAAACTGCATCAGCAGTCGCCATAAGTGCTGTCCGAATGGTGCTGGCAGTTATGAAGGAGCTAGGACGAGGAAGCAGGATTCTTCACAAAGCTACACAATACATTTGTGTAGCTTTTATATTATTTAGTTATTTTACAATAAATACTCCCAATTTGACCAGCGTCATTCATGTTTGTGTCTGAAGGCTAAAGGCTTTCCAGGTTCAGCACCACAGTCCAAACCTCCTTTCCCTACCCTGAATAGAGTTCTGTTAACCCTGTGAAAGGTGAAGGATAGGAGCTAGGAGCTACGTCTCTGAGTGGGAAATTGAATTTGACTTTTCCTCCACAGCATTTAATATTTGGAATGTAAAATCTATATCAAATGGTAAAAAATTAAGTTGTATTGTGTGTTTTAGGACCTAACTTTTTATACTAGAGTGAGCCTAGAGCAGGCTGAAAAAGACTACAATGAACAGACAAAGGTTTAACGTATATAGGCCTGGCTTAGATTAAGTCCAGACTTAAATAGTTTTATTCAAGGTTTTATAGGTTAATCTGTAGAGATGTTAAAAAGGAAAAAGTAGCAAAGCTGTTTGGCAGGCAACAGGTCGCTGAACGGTATAATTAACATCAACAGGAGACTCATCTTGGTGCACTTTTTTTTTTTATAACTAGTATCATTTTACTACTAAGATTTTATTTGCAACCATCAGAGACATGAGGACCATGAACTGTAGCAACCATCCTGATCACAAGTAAGCTTCAGTTAACAGTCTGCAGTAGATTCCCGAGTTCCTCTTGTACTTGTTGGAGATTATAGAGATAAAAAATAAATAAAAAGTTTAAACTCTCCTACTCTCAGTATGTTTTAGTAGAGGGAGGATTTAGAGACCAACATACTAAATTACATAATGCTTTACACATCCTGTGGGTTGGTGTTCGGAGGCAGGCTGCTGACAGAGGAGCTGTCCTTTCAGCACCACCACCTGAGCTCCACCGAGTCAACGGCAGAGACGCTTCATGGTTCGGCTTCAAACCGAACCAGGCCCTGTCCGGCTGGTCACGACGCGACGGAGAAAATAAAAAAAGGAAAATAAAAGGTGTGTGGGGAAAACACGCAGACACACGTGAGAATGACTCAAAAACACAATGAGTTCCAGCGCCTCGCATCCCGCCGCGCGTGAACGTGTCTTACCTTGATCCTAACATAACAATGAGTTCCCAAGGACGTGTCATTCAGACAAGCCGGGGGAGTTTCACGGACCCCCCACTGGAAGGTGGCCGTGGGCCTCAGCACGATGTTCCAGCAAAGTTTCATAAGCGCCGCGGTGGCGCAGAGAGCGCAGTAACCATAAACCAGCGACCAGTAGCCCCAAACTCTGATCCTCAGCGCCAGGCTGAGCAGACAGAGCAGCAAGTTGTGGAGGACTCTCGCCATCTTCGCATTGCCGCAGGAAATCGATCCGGGTCTCGTTGCTGATTGATCCCCCCCCCACCCCGGCTGGTGTGGAACCTCAGCTCCGGCGGCGCCGTCCTCCCGCTACCAGCTCACACACAGCACTGTCTGAAAGGGAGGGTCCCGACAGAGCGACTGAATGGGACGGTGGCACGAGCATCACGTCAGGTTTCACGCTTGCGTGTGACAGCGGCTGCGGAGGACAATCAGGTCCCTTCTTTGTTTTCGACCTTTTTCATGGCAGCCGATAAAAAAAAGAAAGAAAAAAAAGAGGGCGATGCTTTCGGCTAGATGGAAAAAAAAAATCACTGCAAAGCGGCAAGGCATCATGGCGCTGCTATGGCAACAACGCCGCAATGACAACACAGCCTGCGTGCTCAGAATGCGATCAGCTGCTCTTATGAGCAAGGAGACAATATGCGCTTTGAGAATCTTTTATTTTCAGTAATCAAAGGGGTGAACTATAATATAGTTAGGATTCAAATCTTACATTTTTTTTCTTCCAATCACTTTTATGCTCATAGCAGCTGTGGCCAGAAATCGATAGGACCAGATCCAGTTCAGGGTCAGTCTACACCAGGCATCCCCAAACTCGGTCCTCGAGGGCCGCTGTCCTGCATGTTTTAGAGGTTTCCCTGCTTTAAAACAGCTGATTATAATGATTGCAGTAGAGCAAAAGCCTGTTAATTAGCTTTCAATTAAAATCAGCTGTGCTGGAGCAAGGAAACCTCTAAAACCTGCAGGACAGCGGGCCTCCAGAGCCGAGTTTGGGGATGCCTGGTCTACACCAACAGGAAAAAAAACACAGTATCTGTATTTTCCATATCAATAAAAATCTCATTTTGGGTTTGGGGGTCGTTTGGCTTCTTTTATTAGCCTGCAATGCCTGATACCTAGACAGGTATAAAAGAAGACTAATAAAAGAAGCCAAATGACCCCCATTCCAAGGGGGTGGACCCTTCGTCTGTTTCAATTTGCATGTTTTCAAAACATAAACAGGGCTTTGTTGTGCTGCTGTATCAGGGTTTATACAGGAATTAGTAACTCTAATTTAATTTTCGTAGAAATTATTTTAGTGCCATCAAGAAGTACTTATGTATGCGTTTGTGTATTTTTACATTATATATATATGTATTAGGGATGCACGATATAATCGGCCCCCTATCGGTATCGGCCTTAAAACTGAATATCGGACATCGGCCACCCCACCGATATTTAACCCGATATTTGATCAGCTTCTGAGTTTCTAAAGTCTAAAAAAGATAAAAAAATACTACTTCTTCCTCAAAAACTTTTTTTACAGACTTAAAAACATCTAAAGACGAGGGAAAAAATATTGATCCATTAAAATATCCCAATATCTTCATATGCTGATATATTGCCATTTAAAAACACCATATCAATCTCTTTTACTAATGAAATATTGCTATATGTCATCGTTATGCTACGAAATCCCCCGAAAATTCACGAAATGTTGCCATATTTTTATATGTTGATATATTGACGCGATATCGATCTATTTTACTAACAAAATCTCACAAGAATTTGCAAAATATCACGAGAGTTTGTAACAGAACGATGAAATTTCACCAGATTTCGAAAGTAAAATAGATCGATACTGCGTTTTTAAAAATCAATTTGATATCAGCGTATGAAAATATATTTGAGTATATTATTTTTCAAAGTGTCAGAAATGGAGAACAAAACTGCTATTTTCAATGACTACTTATTTTTGTCCAGCTTTAACATCAGTATCGATATCGGTTATCGGCTACATGAGTTTTAATCTGGCATATCGGATATCGGCCATATATATATATATATATATATATATATATATAAAATTATATATACACACACACACACATTTGTGTTGCACAGATACCAGTATGGGGCGGGGCCTGATCCAGCACTAAAATGGTGGTATCGTATCGGTGAGTCCCAACAAATAGGGCACTGATACCATTTTGAGAGCCAAAAGTTAATTCAACTATTGTCACCCATTCCAGGTAGGCAATAAAAAGTTCTACTGGATTCACTTTTAGTCTTTATCCTGCTTCAGAAAGGTAGCCAGCAGCTTGACAAAGCCATGATGGTGATTATTTTACGTCCAAGTAGTATGTAGTTCTTCATATATACACACACACATATTTCAAACAAATGGTATCGGGAATCGGTATCAGGGTCAAAATATGGCATCCGCGCAACAATATATATCTATCTCACGGCAAAATCCTTGGTCAGCTTTATAGTCGACAGGCTGCAGACATGTCCCGAATTCCTCGTTTTTAATGTCAATTAAGGCCTTAATAAAATGAAAAGTTTAATGACTTAATTATCCGTGGAACCCCTGTGTTTAAACCAACTTTAACTCAATTTCTGACATTTGAATCGAAAAAGCTTCCTGAATGGGAAGAGAAACGTCTTCACATGGGAAACAAAGTCCAGTGGATTTTTTTTTTTACTTTTTTGGAATGACTGTGACCTGGAGGACTGAGAATCTTCACCAGCATGATCGGAAACTCCAAATGTAAAATATTAAGAAAATGACCTAAGAACGCTAATTAAAGAAAAACCCTTAATCACTGCATCAGAGCGTTGCGGCATGTAGGCCTTTAGCTACGGTTTATCGTAAAGTCTGAGGGGTTCAGGTCAGGTCAGTCCACCACAGTAAGACCAGCTTCACTGAACCAGCTGCTTCAATAAAATTAGCATCTCCACAAATTTGAAAACATGGATTCTGGGAAACGTTCGGTCTTAAATTAAACGCAAACCATCTGAAAAGAGGACTTTGCATCTTTTTTTTGTAGCAAAGGTAAGAAAGACATTTCTGAGGTCTCTGGTTCCGGACCGACTTCAACAGAAAGTGATCTTTGTGATTAGCAGCTCTTTACGATGGCAGCCTCAGTCTGGTGCTTTAAAATCCTCTTATGGCTAAAGTTAACCCTGCTCCCCTGAACAAGTCCTTTATGCGGCTTAGTGTCTCCTACTGACCCAGACAGACCATTTAGAGAATCAGGAAACATTAACAGGAGTTTTAGGGAGCTTGGAGTCTAAACACCAAAAAACCCCTAAACACTTATATACATAATAAAAATAATCAGACTCAATCAGGGAGCGGATTGATTAGTGAAAATAGATTTATTTTGTTAATTAAAATAAAACCTTTTTTTTAAACATATACAAACAGGTTTAGAGGATATGCTAATTATCATTACTGCATTACAATCAGAGCTAAGCGACCAGCCTGCTTCATCTTTACAGTTAGCACAGACATTAGCAACAGCTAATATGAACAGCTAGGAATCATTTGCGCTACACTTCCTTAGTCCACATATCGATCCCTTACTGTACAGTGGGAATGTATAATGCTGGTGTGAGGTTAAAAAAAACAAAACAGTGCTCTGACTTAACTCTAGGTTTCTGGGTAAAACAAAATGAACTTAACATTGAAACAATCCACTGAAAGGACTCGACAATTCCAAGAAGCAACAGAACCGAACATCTGACAACATACATTTTGATAAACTGTGAAACGGTGAGAAATACGAGTCCAAATAATAACGGTGCTATAAACAATTGATATTTGCACTAATGCACTCTTGAGCTTCTTGCTAACAGAAGGATAGATCTGTCCTTTTTCAATTTATCCACTTTTTATTTTCAGCTAAACGACAGGTTTGAGTTTGAATTAGTGTCTACCAAGTCTGAGGAAATTACATCTAATCTCAAAACCCTGGACAACCAAAGACCTTTGACCTTAGAGTTTTACTTCACAGCCTCTGCCTTCAGTCCAGATTAAGTTCAAATGAAGTCATGATGTCCCGCTGCATGGTCATGTCGATACCAGACATCTAAAAGAAGAAAACCTCAGAATAAGCACGACTAAAAACATCGGAAGAAGTTTTAACGAATGAGAAACATTGAAGACTACTTACAGCCTCTCGTCTGCGACGTTCCTGCTCTTTTCTGCGGGCCAGCTCTCTCTCTTTATCTTTAGAAGATTGTTGGTTTTGGGGCCTTGTCTCAGCTGGAGACATTAAGTGCTCGATACGTTTGGGGGGGTCCAGCCCAGCCACAGGGCAGATGCTGTCCAGCAAATCAGGATTCTCTATAATCTGCTCAGGTGGATCTGATTTACAGGAGCCTGGGAGGCTGAAAGAGAGGAGGCCTGACTTTCAGGGTCACCGAGCAATTAGCTTTGCAAGATTTAGGGGAAATGAAATCATGTTACTGAAGACATGAAACAATTTAATGAATTTAAGATTTGTTCCATTATTGCTGAAAACAAAGAACAAATTGTGTAATGGGAAGAAAAAAAATCAATCCAGACTAAAAACTTTGAAAAACCTCTTAAAATAAAGTTTTATAAGAAAATGTTTTCACTGAATAATTTTTTTCTCCATTTTAATATATTCTATATTTTTTTTAAACATTTCTGTTTTTCAGATTTAGTTTTATGAATCATATTCTTTTTAAATTATGTTTCACAGATCACATTCTCGTTACTTGTACAAACGCTCACACCTGAGCAGAGCATGTGTCGCGCAATTCCCACTCAGGTGGTTGTTCGCTCGTTCGCTCAAAGTTGCGCGAGGACGCTCCGCTCAGAATCCGCTCCGCGCTCACCTTAATTGTCCTGTCGCTCTGGCGAAATCGTAGCCTCGTGAGACCATCCTGATCTCGCGAGCTTTCAAGGTTTCACTCGCAGATCAGTCTGGAGACTCTCCATTAAAGAAAATTTGGAGCCGTTCACCAAACGAACGTCCAATCAGCGTTGGCTTTGAGGCGGGTTGAGGTGTGACGCAACGAGAAGCGCGACAGTTCAGTCTAAAGAACATGGCGGCTTCAGCCGATGAAACTAGCGTTAGCGTGGCTATCAAGCAAGTTTTATCGGAATTACAGAGTATTTCTTCACTGAAAGAAGAGCAAAACACTGCTCTGGAGGCTTTTCTCATAGGAAAAGATGTTTTTGCTCTTCTCCCGACTGGTTTCGGCAAGAGTAGCCTGGCTGTTAGTACGTCATATGCTTCGTTGATCTGATTGGTTTATTTGGCCCGTCTATCACCAACATAGGCCAATAGACCTTTTTCACGACAACCGGAAGCTGCATCTGAAAGGGCTGGAGCACTTCCTGTTTTACTCTGAAAAATGTCTCTCCTCCGGTGCTTTTCGTCATCCTTACTTAGTTTGCCAACACTTTCTTTCGCGGATGCGGAGGAAATCGCTGCGGCGAATTCCCCCACCAACAAATCTGTGAAAGGATACAAGTTCTTCCACGAAGAATATATCCACAGCTATCAAGGTAAGAAAAGACGTAGCTTAGCGAGCTAACCGCTAGCTGCAAGATATGAGCTACACAAACATCGTAATGAAGCCTAACTTAGTATCTAAATTATGTGGAATATTGGAGTCGGACATAGTTTAAACTTTTCAGTTATATTTTGACATTCTGAAATTTGTTTGCCACTAGTTTGTGAAAAACAGCATGCTAGAATGTTATGTTAGTTCTGAGATTCTAGATGATGCTTGATGTTGAAACTATGCTTTACTTCTGCATGCCTGTAGTGTCAAATATTGTCGAGGGACAGGTAGTTGTCAGAGCTAGATGCTTCAGATCCATGAAGAAAAATGAGGAACCGCACAAGCTGCAGGTTTGAAACAGTCAGAAAGCCGGTTGGCTCTTGTTCGTTGGTTCGGGTTCCTGTTCATGTTTGACGGCTGAAGAACTTTCACGTACGACTTCTGGACTACTTAGAGCTTATTCTAACATTTTCCTGTTCAGTTGTTACTATTTGTTTTATGTTTCTGTTGCGGTTGCAACATAATCTGTGGGAATGCATGATAGGACAGATATGGCTGTTTTCTTGCCCCACATGAACAACCAGGTACAGAACAAAAAAAACTGCGCCGAGACTGAGCCATTTTCTTAGACTTTTATGCTAACGCTATAGCCACCGGAAGTTGTCAAACCCCACATCCGCTTTAAAACCCGGAAGTGTGAAAAAGGTCTATCAGCTAACCAGTATTTTCGCCTCTTCCCAAAATTACTTCAACGGAAGGTTTCCAGATGGATATGCGGAGCAAATCCATCTGGCGGAGTCAGGTTAGCGAAATCGCTCCACGCTCACTCAAAATTTCAAGAGAAGGCATTCTCTGACATTTTTTTCTTCCTGTAATGATGCCAGGGTCCTGGGACACACAGCGTTTGATTTAATGATGTGACCGATACGTGTGGATTGTCTTATATAACTGGCTGTTAAATTATCGCACTATTTCCCAGCTGTGAACGTAACACCTCGCTTTATTCGTGTTGCTATGCGTTTCCTGTTTAGTTATTAATTTATTTCATAGCGAAGTGAAGCGAAATCCTCGCTCCGGCCTTAGTGCGCTCCACCATATTTCTTCCGCTCCACAGCTCGTTCCACGTCCCACTCACATGCTCTGCACCTGAACAATCAAATGTTGCCAACTCCCCCAAGACCAATAAAAATGCGTCTTCACTCTACAGTCCAGAGGAAAGCCCGCCCCCAGAGCAGAGGACGTGATCTGGTGAATGTTTGTTTGAAGAATGCAATTCATAAACTCAATCTGAAAAATAGTCATTTAAAAAAATAAAACTTAAAGCTGTTGCAGGTAAATATGTTTTGCATTTGCAACAAAGGCTCAAATTTCCCTCCATAGAATTGTGTCTATAGTGGCCACCTGCTCCTTTCAGCGGGCTCCGTCTCTATGGTTGTATCCGACTGTTTCCTCTTCTGCACCTTCTCCCGTTCCTCCTTCTCTATGGCGGCCTTACGGAACAGCTGAAAACTCTCTTTAGAGGCTTTGATAGCAGCAGGAGGGACCGACTGTTTCCCCAACTTTGCCCAAGACACTGCATTTTTCAGGATAATGTCCTGACAAAAAAAAGAAGAAAAAAAAACATTCTTTCCGATTTTAAAAATTTTGATGTTAAGTTAGAACATTTCCAACCTTATGGGAATCTGACTGAGGTGCAGTTAAGCCTGAGGACTGGGATGCTCTGTGTGACCAGCCCTCCAGGGTCCTAGTGTCTAACTGCATAGGAGAAGCAATTTATGATTTTTTCTAGGCTTTTTATCACTCCTGTAGACAGACACAGATTTAATCCAAACCTTTCAGAGCTCTGTAATAAATGTTAATCTGGTGTAGGTTCATTTATTCATTGTTTATGGAGTTTTAATATCCAACAGTTTTGGAGTATAACAGTTAAGTCTAATATCCAAGTGTCATCTACATCTGAGTGCAAGGACTTGCCTAAAAGGACTGGAGGATGACCTGCCAGTTGGTTTTCACCACAAAGATCTTTTACACATTCTGCATATTTGTGCCCTGGAATGTATCTTGGCTAATCTGGATCACTGACAACACCTCTACTCTAAATCAGTGGAAACAAACTGTGACTGGTATTGTTACATTTTAGGCTTTTTCTATGGCATTAAAAGGACAAACCCTTTGTATTCTATCGGACCTGCGACCCATTTCTGGACTACCTTTATGTCTCCAAATCTTGCAGGTTGAGGCCAGGGCTTATGGACCTGGCCTGGGAAAAGACCGAGGGTTATAGTGTGACAAGCTATCATATTTGAGTGAATATTATTTTATATTTTTTGGTCTCGATTTTGTTTTTCTTATTTTGTTGACATTTGTTTTTTGTTTTTGTTTTTTTCTTTCTTTGTTTTTGTTTTATATACACTGCCTCGCCAAAAAAAAAAAAAAGTCGCCACAAAAAAAGGTCATTCAAAAAAAAGGTCATTCACTAATACTTTGTTGGACCGCCTTTAGCTTTGATTACGGCATGCATTCGCTGTGGCATTGTTTCGATGAGCTTCTTCAATGTCAAAAGATTTATTTCCATCCAGTGTTGCATTAATTTTTCACCAAGATCTTGCATTGATGATGGTAGAGTCTGGCCGCTGCGCAAAGCCCTCTCTAGCACATCCCAAAGATTCTCAATGGGGTTGAGGTCTGGACTCTGGTTCAGGGAGCATGACACATCATTTTCACACATGGATTGGCCACCACAGTCTTTCACCATTTGAGTCCGATGAATCCTGGCATTGTCATCTTGGAATATGCCTGTGCCATCAGGGAAGAAAAAGTCCATTGATGGAATAACCTGGTCATTCAGTATATTCAGGTAGTCAGTTGACCTCATTCTTTGAGCACATACTGTTGCTGAACCTAGACCAGACCCAATGCAGCAACCCCAGATCATAACTCCGCCCCCACAGGCTTGTACAGTAGGCACTAGGCATGGTGGGTGCATCACTTCACCTGCCTCTCTTCTTACCCTGATTGGCCCATCACTCTGGAACAGGGTCAATCTGGACTCATCAGACCACATGACCTTCTTCCATTGCTCCACAGTCCAACCTTGATGCTCCCTAGCAAATTGAAGCCTTTTTTTCCGGTTAGCCTCACTGATTAGTGGTTTTCTTACGGCTACACAGCTGTTCAGTCCCAATCCCTTGAGTTCCCTTTGCATTGTGCGTGTGAAAAAGCTCTTACTTTCAGTATTAAACATAGACCTGAGTTCTACTGTTGTTGTTTTTTTGATTTGATCTCACCACTCGTTTAAGTGATTGCCGATCACCATCATTCTGGATTTTATTCCGGCCACATTTCTTCCTTGAAGATGATGGGTCCCCACTATCCTTCCAGTTTTTAATAATGTGTTGGACAGTTCTTAACCCAATTTTAGTAGTTTCTGCATCTCTTTAGATGTTTTCTCTGCTTGATGCATTCCAATGATTTGACCCTTCTCAAACAGACTAACATCTTATCCACGACCACGGGATGTGTCTTTCCACATGGTTGTTTAGGAAATGAGAAGCAAGTCATTGCACCAGTTGGGGTTAAATAACTTGTTGCCAGCTGAAAGATAACTGTAATTATCCAATAGGAGGCTTGTACCTATTTGCTTACTTGAATCCAGGCGGCGACTTATTTTTTGGCCATGCAGTGTATTTTTGAGTTAGGAAGCTGAGGCGAAGGCATTTGTTGCAACAAATAAGGTTCAAATTTATTTAACGTCCTCGGACGGAGAGATGGAGCTCTCTGAGGAATTTCCATACATACATTTATTCCTTACAAAATCAGACACAATCCCCCCAGGGGAACGAACCCACCCCCTGCATAAAGAGCTTTCTTACACTTCAACATTTGGTTATTCCCAAGAAACAACAATTCAATTCATCAAAGACATACATTTTAGCCAGATAAACACTAAGAACAGGTCTCCCGTTCATGGAACGAAGGAGGCTGGGTGATTCTTATCTCTCATGACCCATCCTTCAACCATGTCTAGAGTAGAGAGGCAACTGCTTTCCATCGTACCCAATCTTAACTCCAGTGTACAGACTGGTACAAGACTTATGAACAATCACGCCTATTTAGGCAGAGGAAAGGTACATATAGGCCAAAGAAAAATATGCTTCCACAATACGATGTTTATGACGCCTGAATGTCTGTATTTGTTATGCACTCTGTGCTTTGTTTGCCGTTACTCCTGTTGCTTCTGCTTTGCAAGAAAAACTTTAATAAAAACAAGGTTGAAAAAAAAAATATGTCCAACCTTTTTAGGGATCTGAGATTTGTCCTCCTCAGTATATGTAGATGTAGTCTGACTGTCAGCTATGTTGCTCTCCTGAGGGTCAGGAAAATCTTCAAGGTTCCTGAAATCTGTTATAAGAGACCTTAAAAAAACAGAATCTTTGCACAAGCCTAAAAAAGCCGACGTTAGAAATGGTGTTAGACGAGAAGCTTACAGCACCCCGTCTCTTCTTTGAACAGCAGTGGGCTGCCTGTGAGAGGGGACAGCACTGGACCCTGTTGAAGGGTTATACAGAGAGAGATGCCATTTCTGCGCCAGCAAAGTTTCCCTACCTTCTAAAAAGGCCTTTATCAGGCCAGAATGAACTACCTGGAATATGGCCGCGGTCAGGTCCTTCAGCTCTCCAGGAGAAGCCATGGGGGATAAAAGCGTAGAAAAATCTGCTGACAGTAAATTACACCATTAATCACAGACTGAGGGGAGAAAAAAAAGGTTTATGCACAATCCAGAGAACAAAACCAGAACAGAACCAACAGGTTCTCTTGACAAAGAATATGAAAAACATCTTAATGGTTTTAAAATGGCTCTGGGGTGTTTTCCTCATTTCACACCTTAAAAAGTAAATCCTAAAATGTTTTTGCTCCAGAACATTTTTCCCTGTGTTCTTTTGGACAGTTTTACACCCAGAACAGGAAACAGGCTAAAGAGAAAAGACTGACCAGACTGGCTTGGAGCATAGAAGCTTTCTGGAACCATGGAGCTGAGGGGCAGCAGAGGATGACCGGTTCTGATGGAGGTCTTTGCTGATACCAGCTTATTGTCTGGATTCTGAGGATCAACATTCATCAGTTACTGCAGCCGAGCCAGTTGTTGATCTGTGAGCAAATTTTTTTACCTGTTGGTGGACTTTTTGACAGGAATCTTTAGATCTTTTCTTCATGTCTGGAAGTGTAAAAAAAAAAAAAAAAAAACAATCCGTCTGTTAAGGTAAATATCACTTTTAGGGCTGAAACAATTAATCGGCTTAATTGTGAGTAATCGAATTATTGAAATAATTGTCAACTAACTAGATTGTTAACTGGAGTATAGAGACGCTAAAAAATGCCCTTAGCTGACAGAGCAACCAACTTAGAGCAGTAATTATGCAAAGATTGTAAACAAATATATATATAAACACAGACCTCCAGAACTCCTCAAGTAGAAAAGTTGAAGTTTCACCTGGTTTAATTTCATGAAAAAAAAAACTCTTTAAGGAACCTTTGCCTATTAATTGAAAATATAATAGACAGAATAATGGACTTCCAAAATAATCGTTAGTTGCAGTCCTAGTTAGATTATTGGTTCTAAAAGCAAATTTTGCTTATAGGATCGTTTTCCAAACTGCAGGATTACATGCACCCCAAAAGACATAAAGTAGGAATGATCTATTAAGCAATTTTATTGTTTCATCATTTTTTTTACCCCCTCGGTGCCCCCTGTAGACTACACCAACCCCAACGCACAATTAGGCTGAAAGTTGGAACGAACGAAAAATTCTCACACGACTGGAAAATCGGCCTGCAAAGGGCAAAAAAAATAAAAATAAAAAAATCATACAGTGTATGCCCGGCTTTAATCCACCTAATGCCTTTTTGTTTATCAGTCAGATGGGTCGAGCTATGCTCATCAACTTTGCCCACCTGTGCAACCAGATTTCACTCAGATGAATGAAAAGACCATACATCATTTTATATCAGAATTTATCTCAGACACTGGAAACTAAAAGATCGATATATCAGGCAGTCAAATATCATGATATAATGCCAAAACAATTTTTTCCCACATCCCTAATAATTAGGGCTGGGTACCGAACTTCGGTTCTTTTATGGTACTGACCGAAATGCTTCGGTTCTAAAGAGTATCGAAACTTGCCTCGTTTTTCAGTACCAAGTTTCGGTGATTGGCTGTAACACTTAACGTGATTGCGTCATCCAGAAAAAATACACAGGTGGTCACGCCTACAGCCGGGGTTCATGTGCATCTGTTGTGAACTGGTTGTGAGCGTCGTGGAACCCCTTTAAAATGCCCCCCAGGTCAAAAGTGCAGCTTCACTTTATTAAGACTGATGCCAATAGTGTGCAATGCAATACATCGTGCACGGAAACAATGTAAGAGCAGAAAGTTGCTCGGTGTTTGACTGCAAGAAGAGCGGACCGCAGCCGGCGCGACCATCCTCCTCTCAGCAGCCCGTGGGCGGAGCAAAGCCAGAGCGGAGTGAATAATGCTGCTTTCAAACTGTCTGCTGCTTCCTTTTTGCTGCTTGTACCAGTTTATGACGCGCGGCTGAAGAAGCTTTGCTGCTCTGGCTGCGCGGTTGAAAAGTGTGTCTGACGCGCATTGGGCAGAGCTACTCTATCCTTTCTTTGCCTTGCAGCTATATTTGCTGTGATCAGTGGGAATAAAGTAGTTTTATTATGTTTTTAAGTGGGAAAATCCACTTGAAAACTTAATCAGTGCAGTCAGTTCATCCATATCAGCCTTCCAATATTTCTAGTCAGAGCCGCTCAGACCCCCACATACCAGCGGTGCGCTGTCAGTAGGATCCCATTCAACGGGCTTGTTTGTCAGACATGGTAATTTTTCTAAAGGAAAACTCCTAAGTAAAAAGGTCCTCACAATGTAACAGTGAATATTAGACACTGATTTTTTTTTTATGTAAGAGGAAAAATGTAAATGGAAAAACAGAGCTTAAAATAAAACTTAAGATTTGTACTTTTTTATGTTGTGTAATTTTCTTTTTCTTCGAATTGATATTATAAAACTGGTATCGAAAAAAGTATCGTTCAGGAACCGGTATCGAAGTGAAGGTATCGGTATTGGTACCGGAACCGAAAATCTTTGAACAATACCCAGCCCTACTAATAATGAATCCTTGTATTCTGCACCATTCTAGACAAGTCTCTCTCTTTAGAGCTTTTGAAAAATGTATTGATTTAATAAAAAAGTTGTAGCTTTAAGTATTTTTCTGTATTTATGTATTTAAAAAAACAAAAAAAAACAAGAGTAGGTCCCCATCATCTATCCAGAGTAAGAAACCAAGACGTGTAATGTGGCGCTAACACCAAAAAGCAGAGTTAGGCTAACCTGATTCAGTGTCGCTGTCATCACTAGAGCTACAACTACTAGAGCTGCTGGTGTAAGAGCTGAATGATGAGGAGCTGCTGCTGCTGCTGCTGCTGGACGGTGACCGGTGGCTGTGGTTAGCAGAAGCATCCACTTCAACAGGCCACAGTAATAAAAAAAATAAAAAGAAAACAGACATTTTAAAACTAGACATTGACTCAAATTAGGAAGCAGATGCATGAAATGTGTTGGATTGATCCAGTCCTACCAAACAGCTTTGGTTTCTTCTTGTTCCTGCTTAAACCTTTTCCTCCTCCCTTTGCCCTTTCCATCTTCAGTCCTCCTTTGGGGTTAAAACTTTTACCTTCTCACAAACAGATCAGAGAGCAATGGGCAGTCAGTGATATGTGGAGCAAAATCAAGGAAAAAGATCGATCCATATTTCCTCTCTGCTTCCTGGGTAAGTAAAGCCAGGAGGTGAACTTACTGTTTCTGCTATTCTTGTGCTTTTTCAGACCAGAAGCCACAAACTGCTGTAAGTCTCTCAGTGTGGAAGTTTTGAGATTTTCCAAGTCAACTTCAAAGTCTCTGGATGCAGACCTTCCTGCACACGGCTCCCTGCTCTTAATCAGGTTCATGAGATCCATCAGTTTTTCACTGGGCAGGTTGTCAATACCCGACTTTAACTGTAACTTCTCCTGACTAGTCAGCGGCATCGATGAAACCTCGTAACCTCCATGCCTGGAAACCACAAATACAGCCTTTAGAGTCGTAGGGAAACGGCTGTTTCAACCGTTGCATTTCCGATTTTTTTCCCCAAGTTGTGCACAACTTTACACGAGTCAATACAGTGAATGTGATTGGTCGTTTATCAAGGGGCGGGATCGTTGTGGCGGAAGGTTCGCAAGCTAGTCTGATTGTGGCTGGTTTCTCGGAAGCATCTTGCTAACCAGTTAGCAACTTAGTGCTAGTAGGTTCCCAATGGGAAATTCCATTGGGACCAAGTAGCACTAAATTGGTGACTTAGAAACGACGCTGTCAAGGAACGCTATGGACAGAGGAAACATGCAAGAGGAGGAGAGTTTGGTGTCGGAGGTCATGGATGAGTCTACTCCGTCATCCATTTTTTATTTAGATTTATTTATTTAGATTTTTTTTAAAATAGTAATTTTCTACATTTTGGGACAATATGGTCTGATACAGAGTACATTTATATAAATGTTTAAACCTTTCAAAAGTCGCAGAGAAATCATATTTAAATGTCAAATTATATTATTTTCACAATGGAGTTCAGTTCTAGCTCAAGGACAAACAAAAACCATGCTACATTAGCTTTTTTTTTTTATACTTACGCAGAGTTGTTCTTGTATTTTGAAATTATCTGTAGTATGGAGTTGTATTTGGCAGAAATATTTTTTTTAAGACGAGCGAGACCCTTTTCATTGGATCGCTTTTTCTTTTTCCGTTTTGCTTTCCTCCCGGGCTTCAGAGGTGCTTCGGAAAGCCTCTTTAGCTGCTCTCCGACTTCCTTCAGCTGCCAGGAGGACCAGAGAGTTAGAGAAAAATCAGCAGAAATCTGTGAACTTGATGCTCCAGTGATGCCAACCCTGTCCTCCAGCTGAGCCAGCTGCATGGCGACCTCATCCGACGACCTATCCGACTCGGACGAGTTCATACTGTCTGAGCTCTCGGAGGATGAGGGACTTCCAACTTCGCCTGGTTTCTCATGGTTACCACACTGGAGCGACACTGAGCTCCCTTTAGGCTCTTGGAAAATATTCATATAACGGCTTTCAAAGATGTCCTGTTAAAAAATCAGAAAAGAGATTAAATGATCAGCCAATCAATCTAATACTATTGGAAAATCTGTTTAAGTTCCAGTAAGCTGTATAATTTGCTGTGCAGAGGGGATTAGGTAGGATGTCAACATGGAAATAAAATCAAGGCCGAATAACTTCTATGACTCATTAGATCTTGTTTATTAAAGCCGTTGCTTGAAGTTTGAAGAGAAACAAGAACTGTGTTGGTCATGTACTATACTAATAAAACCCCATGGTCTTTACGTTGTCCTTTTTGAGTCTGAAAACAATTTTTGCACCAGGCAGGATCAACAGCCATAATCACTGTTATGTTTAAAGAAATCGCCACCTGCACTTTGGAAGGAGTAATTCTGTTCTTTTATTGTTTTAAAGGAGAAGACCAGTTAGCAAGGAATAATCAATGGATCATTATTTTTATATATATATATATATATATATATATATATATATATATATATATATATATATATATATATATATATATATATATATATATATATATACACTTTATACATATATATATATATATATATATATACTCATACTTTCGGGGTGAGTTAATGAATTTAGCGTTCATTCAATAAAAAATTAAAACAATCATTTTCATCGTGATCACCGAGTCTGGGAGCGGCCGTTTTTGCCCAAATATAGTAACCCCTCTCTCCTGCCATCTTCCAGCAGTGACGTCACGGTGCAGTAAGCCTAGCGCCATTCTCCCCGCTTTACAAGCGAAATCAATGGGAACTACTAGACACATCTGCAATCAACAACAATTATTGAAGATTTCCAGAGGACTTCACCATTGAAATTCACCAGAGCCATAGTGAAACTGACAATGCCCACGTGCATGGCAGCTGGATGCTGGAAAAAGGAAGGTATTTCACCTTTTTATTTCACGATCCTCAACGGATGGTTTATCGTGTGGATCGCCAACTTGAAGAGGGAGGATTTGCCATCGAACTTCTGGCCAGAGAAAAAACCCGTAATATGTAGCCAACATTTGGAAGAAGAATGTTTTCAAGATGACTTGGATAATAGCGCCTTGTGACAAACACCAGATACAGCACTGGGACTTGATCAACAGCCGATACCGCACCGTGACGTCACTAACCACTAGGTGGCAGTAGTGTTCTTTGAAAAACATGGATTCCTCCAGTAAAGCACATTCAGATGAAAATTACTCTGAATTAAAAACAGTGATCATTATGTAATAATTACATAATTAAAGTTCTTTTAGAAGTTTAAATTCTGAATGTAACCAGACTTCTCCTTTAAGCAAACATATAGCTGCTGAAATCTCTGAAAACTCTGAAAAACTGCTTAACAAAAAAAAAAAAATAGCTTCTGAATGCATCTTTACTGTTTTTCTTTATTTTCATTTTTTTCCCCAAAATTGTTTTTATATTTTATTTTTAACCTAACACCGACCTAATTTAGGGTAATCCTTGCCTTTTTTTGCATACCCAAATGGAAAAGCAAATAACTGAGGATCTGTAAGCCCAAATTACATGTGTGATACATTTTGAGAGCTAACACCTAGTTTCTTAAAATAATAGGTCTTTTTTGAACAACAGTAATAGAAAACATGCTTGAGAATCGGCATGTTTCATTGCATTACATTAGTTCTACATCATGTCAACCAGAACTGCAGAAAATTTCAGACCTCTAATTATAACAGTTCCAGAGCTGCGGGGCTTTGCTTTGGGTGTCACAAGCGTTGAGTTGTTGATTGTAAATGCTTTAAAAATGGTTGACGGTGACTGGGTGGGTTTTAAGAAGCAATACGCATAATTTTTCCAAAAATTTACTTTACAGATCAAGTTTTATGAATTGTGTTCTTTAATAGAATTTCACTGATCACATTCTCATCCCTGCAAGTCCAACAATAATACCTGCTGTTGACCCTGGAAAAGAAAGCAGTTTGAAAATCCCCCCAAAAAATACATAAATAAATAAATCTATAATTATGTTTTTCCAAGTTTCATTTCTGGATTGCATTTTTTGTTTTTTATTTCAACTAAACCATATTCTTTGCTTGCAATATTGATGGGGCAATATTCACGGCAAACAACTAAAAGCTATATTTATGGTCAAATTGCACAATCATCTCCTCTGCTTTACTAACCAAAATTAGAATGCAAAAAAAAAAAGAAATATGATAAGTGCATAATATCCAATAGTATTACTTATTTCAATGGCAAAAAATAGTCATTCCATTGGCAGATCTTATTTACCCACAAATAAAGGTTAGTTACACTTAACACATTTTTACTCATTTTTGTATTGCATTTTGGACTATGATAGACAGAAAAATTGCCAAAAGAAACAGGAAAAAAATAAAAGTCATGCCAGATTATTCCCAGCATACCACCTCCAAGCAGTACGGAAGAGGATTAGGGCCACTGGAAAAAAAAAAAAAAAGTAAACTGATTTTTAAATTTTATTTAAGTTTAATTCTCAGAATTCTGAGAAAAAAAGTCAGAATTCTGAGAAAAAAGTCAGAATTCTGACTTTTTTCCCATACTATACTGAAATAAAATTAAAAAAAAAATCAGTTAACTTTTCTTTTTTTTTCCAGTGGCCCTAATCCTCTTCCGTAAAGCAGCATCCAAAAATCAGAACGAAAAGCACACCTGCAGTTTTCTTGCCATTAGAACCACGTGATACGACGGCGGGTTGTATTTGTAGCAGTTTGAAAACATCAGGCGCACATCAGCTGCAAATTCCTTGGGGTCTGAATATTCTTGATGATCCATTTTTTTCTAGGAAAAAAAAAAAGGAAACCTCAGGTAGGAAAGAACCTGGAGCTTTTAAACGTGTATAGTTATTGGCTTTCTACGTACGTTTAGATTTTTTTCAGTAGTTTTACCTTGATGGTGCTCAGGTCCATAGGCTGCTTGATTATGTCATGGTAGTCGTGCAGACCCAAAGCCACGGCATCCACTGGTGTATAGAAGGGCCAGGCATACGCATAGTGCCTTTTGGAGAGCATCTCTTTCAGGATATTGCTACAGTACCTCAGCTGTTCTGTCATTTTGACCCTCTTGTGCTCAAAATCAGCCAAATCTTTCTTAGGAGGCTTAATGTGTCTTTTGCCGCTTGTTCTGGACAGCAACAAGCAAGCTTTGGAAGGATCCTCGTCAGGGGTTACCTCAGGGTTTGGGCATACAGAGGTAGTGGGTATTGCCATGTCAGCTCTCTTCTTACAGGTTTTTTTTATCTGCATATTCAGATAGCAGAAGTCTGTATCATCATTCAAATCTACACTCAGGCTATCGTAATATCAGGAGATTTAACGCTTACAGTTCTGTGTGTTTTTGCAGACTGTGGATTGGTTGGGTCCATTTGAGCCACATGTGGAGGGTGAACTGTTACCATCTGATGGAAAACAAGCTCTGACAAACGACTCTTGTGCTTTCCTGCATCTGCTTCCAGGAAACGGGAATTGTTAACATAACCAGGATTATGTTCTTTGAAGGTTTTTTCACATGTACTGCCACGTTTTTCCCCCCACCTGTGTTGTTTTTTTTCACTTTCTCTGGCTCAAGTGAAGACGTCTTAGCAACCACTTCATCCTTTGGCATTTGAGACAATTTCTGCAAAAAGGCTTTTTCCAATGTTTGTGCCATGAAAACAATGTCATCTCCGGGCTGTAGGGGGAAAGAAAAGGGGGGGGTGTGTGCCTGAATATAACTGAACTACAACAGCAAATCATTCTCAGGAACGTTCAAACCTCCGAGGGAGACGAGAAAACTGCCTCTGGGCCGTTTATCAGGTAGGTTTGCGTGATTAAAGTTAAACCCCACTCGGCTCATGCTAGTGGCAGTTTGCCATTTAAATCTGAAGTTATATACATTCAACCAAGAGAAACATTTCATGGTGGACAAGATATAGTCAATGATGCATCGCCTTTAATCAAATTAACTGGACTTCTATTTCCATGGCTCTTGGTTGTTTTACAATCACTAGAAAAAAACTTTCATTGGAAACAAACCCTGATTCCTGTTGACCTTTTCGCCTTGTTCTTGCGCCTTCACTTGCCTGACCTGTTTCCAGTCATTTGTGTGGCCAAATGGGGACAAGGCTTCATTTATTTCACTGTCATCCAATAAAATTAGCTTCTATAACCTGCTTGACAGTTTCAACTCAAGGTGGCGAATTTTTCATTTATATTTCCGACGTTTAGAGGACCGATGCAAACCACAGACTTTCAAGTCTAACCTGACGTTAGCCCGTCTGTAGCAGCCAGGGCTATCGTTAGCCCGTCTGCAGCAGCCAGGGCTATCGTTAGCCCGTCTGCAGCAGCCAGGGCTATCGTTAGCCCGTCTGCAGCAGTCCTCTCTCTGCATAGCTTTGTGTGAAGATCCCCTGGCTCTGATTGTGAGTTATATATTTTTTTGGCAATTGACATTTGATTTGGCATTTGATTTGTGTTTATTATTAATAACAGGAGGCGAAATGCATTTCCAGACTAGCCGAGCACGTGGTGACGTCACAAGTACCCTGCAGCTCCAATTGAACCATATTTATGCTGCATGCTCACGATCTTCCCATACTTTCATGTGTTCTTCTCAAGAATATACTTGGCGAGGACCTGAGTCCGTACTCATCTTCCTGTAATTTGAGAAACTGCCTTTTTTTGGGGGCTTGAAGCAAAGAGAATGATCTGTGAAACGCAATACGGCTGAAACAGTTGGATTAATCAATTATTGAAATAATCATCTACTAATTTAGTAATCAATTAATCGTTAACTGGAGTATAGACTCTAAAACTTGCATAAACTTTTCTAAAAGGGGAAAAGTTTGAGCTTTACCGGGGGTAATTTTATAAAAAGTCTTCTTTAAGGAACCTTTTGCTATCAGATTATTAATCGAATAAAGTAATTGACAGATTAATTGATTGGTAAAAATAAATCACTAGACCGCAATTCAGGAAAAAATAAAAAATAAAAAATTTTCAGAAAATGATGCATCATTTGTTTTTCAGTGTGAAAGGAACATTATAGTTACAGGCAAGATTTCATGTTACAAATATTTTCGTGGTTTTTGCCATCTCCTAATCTTTTCAACACTGGCAGGAACACTCCAAAACACAAATGCCGTTTACAGTCAGAAGAAACGCATATGTTAAGCGGCTGTCACACATTGAAAATTTAGACCAGCATATGCCTGACGTACGGAAAATCTGGCAAAAATACTGGCATATTTTTAAGTTCAGTTAAGTTCTGAGTTAAGTGTAAATTACTCATAAGTCGTGGCGTCCAGCTTATCCAAAACCTCTGAGTAACTTCTTCAGTCTGCATTTCCATCACAGAGTGAGCGAGAAGCTGAGTGTGATGGATCCTCCCTGCGTTCACACCAAAGACCAACAAACCTTCTAGCAGACATGACGCTGAATCAGCTGCATTGGCAAATCTGTTTTTTCTCTTTTTTTTTTGGTGGGAGGCATCATCGCTGTTGGCTCAATAATCACACTGCTGACGTTAATATCCACACTTTAATGGTCGCCATTAACAGTTTACAACATGCGCTCCCGCGCTCCTCATTCCACACAATGAAGAAGGGAAAACCCAGATCTAGCCCCGCCTCCCATTCCTTACATCTCATACATGCACAGTCTGCTACTTACAACTTAACAATCTCCCCTCTTTCTTTAAAGAACACATAACAGGCTAAAGAAATTTTAGCATTCTAACTTTACTTATTTTAACTCCATTTACTTGAACTTAACTTATGTAAGGAACAATAGTCACTTTATTTATTTTAACTACATTTACTTGAACTTAACTTATGTAAGGAACAATAGTCTTTTTGTTTGTTTTAATCTTTAAGTTGCCATTTCCCTTCACTTAGGGCTCTCAGCAGTCCAAGGGCAGACGCCCCCACTTTTGTTAGGCAGTTGGCAAGTTGGTCTTTGGTAGGTGTCCATATAATTTCTTGGATTGTCCCAGAACCCATAAGTTCTTTGATGCTGCTGATCTCAAGCCGGAGTCTCTTTTCAGTTACACATTTTGTGGATTTGACAGCATCAAGGAGGGAATGGTTGTCCGTTACACAGGTAATGGGTAAGATGTTGCGCGTGCCATCACCAACCATGAGCTCTGAATAGAGTGTAGCAAGAAAGACAGCACTATCAATTCCATCTGCTAGTGCTAAAGTCTCTCCAGCTAACGTGCTACGTACCACTCTCCTAATCCGTCTGGATTGCCAGCATATGGGTGAAAATTTTCCATCTTCTCCCATCAGCATGACAAAATGTCCTCCTTGTGTCCCTCCATCTGAGAGATTTCCCATTGAGGAATCGCTGAACACCACTAGCTTGTGGTATTTGCTGTCTCCCAAGCATTGGAATCTAAGGGTAACTTCCTCAGATTTAAGTTTTCTGATCAGTTTGTTTGCAGAGTGTAATGTTTGAATTGTACCATGTTTTGTGTTTGACGCCAAGATAGATATGTCACACATGATGTCAGGTCTGCTCTGTCTTGCTACCCACAGAATCTGTCCAATCTTGGATTTTAACATGTCCATTTCTGTGTCTGTTAATGGAGCCTCCCGCTGTGGTGCTCTGATGGGATCCATAGGAATGGGCTGTAGGTTTTTAATGTATGCACGCTGTTGTACTCTGATTTCATTCTGCAGAGAATGAACCTCCATTCCAATGTAGTTGAAGCTGTTATGTTCTTCTCTTCCAACTTGAAAAGCAGTTTTCAGTTGGGGGATAATAGCTGAAGAAAACATGTCTGAACCACCCCATACAAAGTCATCTACATGGCATGCAAGAACTCCTGTCACCTTACAGAAATCATCTTGCCAGTAGAAGACAGCTGGATCAACTTTTGACACAGTTCCTCCCAGCTTCTGCATGGTTTCTTTCACCTTGTTGTACCAGAACAAGGAAGCATCTGCCAGGCCATAGACACATTTATTTAATTTCCATACGATTCCTTCGCTCTCTGCCTCTTGAGGCGGACAGAGATACACATCCCGTGTTAAATCTTTACCTTGCAAAAAGGCTGCTTTGATGTCCATAGAGTTCAGCTTCCATTTATTTTGGCATATAACAGCTATAACCATCTTTAGAGATTCAGAGGTTCAGAGGAACAAGTGGGTGAATCCTTAGGAAGTTATTGAATGTTAATTTCTTCAAAGCCTCTTGCAACCAGTCTTGCTTTGGGTACTATGTCTCTTTGTGTTTTCTTGAGTGTGCACACCCACCTCGTTGATATGCATTTCTGACCTTCATCTTTTTCCTCCACAAATGCATTGTTTCTTTTCCAGTTCTCAAGTTCAGTTTGTTTAGCGTGTGAGAAAATATCCTCGTTCACTACTAATATTTCATCTCTGTTGTAAGTATTGGTCTTGACATTTTCAACCACTTCGAGGTGTCTTACCTTTCCCATATCAATGGATCCTGTAGATCCAGCAATTTCCTCTGGCTCAGTATATTCTAGGTTGTACCAGTTTTTGTGTTTCCCACTGGCTTTCCCTGCACGGCTTGTTATTTTTTCAGCATATTTTTGACCTGTTTTTTTGTCTGTAAATTTAATTCCTTGTCCAGCTTTTAGTTTTATTCCTTCACTTACAGTTGTGTGTGTCAGTGGAAGACCATCCCCTTCAGGTTGTACTGGATCACAGGAGGATTCACTGTTTTCTGCAACACCAAGTGATTCATTGCTTGTTGGTGCCATCTCCTCCTCATGTTCACTTTCAAAGTCATGTTCTTCATCAAGTACCGCTGCTGGTGTCTTTGAAAAGTGGTCATCCGTTTTAAATGGATTTTTGCTTTCGCTTTCCCCTAGTTTCTCTTGTGTCTCATTCATTTTTCTCAGCCTAGACTGGTGTACTCTGACATACGTTCCACCATGCCTGACGAATATTACTACACCATCTTGGCCAATAACCACACCTGGCCCTTTCCACTCCTGACAGTCTGTACGTTTATAATAGACTTTGTCTCCTGTTTCATATTTGTCATCTGTGGGTCGCAGCTGTTTTCGGAGGGCTCTTCGGATCCTCTCAGAACATTCAGCCTCAGCAAAGGCTTTTCTCATGCCATGCAGTGTTGCAGTGTGATGACCCATCCATGTGTTGACATCAGTTTCCAATGCTGGAGGTCTATCAATTAGAACTGAAGGCAGGTTTGGGTTTTGACCAAAAACAAGTTGATATGGACTGTAGCCATGTACATTGTGCATGCTGTTTTTTGCCATCAAAGCCCAGTCCAGAGCCATTTTCCAGTCACATTTGTTGTCTCTCTTTACCTTGAGTAGCATTTCAGTGAGAATCTGATTGTGTCTTTCCAGTAGGCCGTTGCTCCATGGACTGTATCCAGCAGTGGCTTTAACCTCAACGTTAAAATGTTCAGCCATGTCTCTTATTTCTTCGTTGTTAAATTCACCTCCATTGTCAGTGAATAATCTGCGTGGTGGGCCATGAACGCTTATCCAGCAGTGAATAAAGTGCTTCACTATCTCTTTGGGTCTTTTTGTGGTGATGATGCTCCCTGCACTGAATCTTGTAAAATGGTCGATGGCATGTAGATACCACAAACCTGGCTCAAACTCATGTAAGTCCATCGCTACAGTTTCATTATACGTTGAAGCCATGGGTAAACCCACTGCAGGTTTAGGTTTTGCTCTACTGTACCGGATGCATATTTCACAGTTTTTTACAATTTTCTTCAGGATTGTAATGCTTTCATCATCGGTGTTGCCAGAGCAAGATAAGAGCTTTTGTAGTCTGTCAACTGAGGCATGTCCAAATTGTTTATGTAGCTTTAGCAGTACTGTTTTTTTTTTCTTTTGTTGCCATGTTTTCTGTCACAATGAGAATTTCATCTTCATCATTTGGTGTCTCACTTTGTTTAAACTGGCTTTCATTATTGATCCTTTCCTTTCTTAAATTTACACAATAATGTCCAGAAGATGTCAGTTCAAGTTTTACAGGTTGGTCAAACATCATTGCTTTGTCTTGAGCAATGTCTAAAACAGCACTCGCTCTCTTCAGTGATGTTTTGCTCAAAAGCATCGGTATATCTGCTGGAACTACTTCTGTCTCAATGTTGCATTTAGTTTTTCCTATTGTTGCAGGAATAGTCACCTTTCTTGTGGATTGCACCAGTTTTCCATCCCCAAACCGGAAAGGTCTTGCACTTTTTTCATCTTTAATCTTCATTAATTCTCTCTGAGGCAATCCACTTACATAATCTGCAAGCCATTTTTCACCACACACAGTTCTTGTACAGGCAGTGTCAATCACAGCAGATCCCAAAGCTTCTACCATGAAGATCTGTGTGTCAGATGTGGATTCGTCTGAAAACAGAGTAATATTACATTCCTCAACGTTGTCTTTTGATCCCTCAACATTTGTTAGCTTCACATGTTCTCTTTTATTGGGGCAGTCTTTTGCCCAGTGAAAAGTGCTCTGACATATTGCACATTTAGTTCTTCTCCCGTATTTGTCGAGTGGATTAGTCCCTGCAGCTGTTCTTGAGCTTTGCTCTGAGTTTGAACTCCGTTCACGCTTGCCTGTGTATTTGGTGAAAAAGGCTGAGTCGCCCTCTTGTGGAGGATAGACATTATCACCGAAGATTCTTTTCAAAGCCGATTTCATGTTGTCAAAAGTTACAGTGGAACAGGCGGTAAGAGCTAGCTGTTTGTCTTTAACGTTTAGCCCCGCGGTGTCTAATAGCTTGAATGCTAACACTGCATCCGGTAGTTCCATTTTGAACTTACGTAACTTGTTGTACCGTCGTTCAAATTCGATAATGTAATCCATCATGGACGTGTCGCCGCGTCTGTCGATCCGGTCAAACTCCGTGTAAGCTTCGTACTGTCGATCTTTTTCTTCTTTTAAAAACACTGAATCCAACTTGTCTAAAAGAACACTCATTCCTGTATCGACGTTGAGATGTTCCGCAGCGATTTCCAGCGCGCTTTCTCTCGCTCTTCCTGATAGCGACAGGGTAACCGCCAGGGCCTGCTTCTTTTTGTCCAAGTCGGTAACAAGTCTCCAGATTTCAATTTCATTTTTCCAACTTTCGTAAGACGTCTTCTCGTCGAACGGTGGGGGAACTTTGTAATTTCCAGCAGCGGCCATCCTCTGCTACCAATGTTGGCTCAATAATCACTCTGCTGACGTTAATATCCACACTTTAATGGTCGCCATTAACAGTTTACAACATGCGCTCCCGCGCTCCTCATTCCACACAATGAAGAAGGGAAAACCCAGATCTAGCCCCGCCTCCCATTCCTTACATCTCATACATGCACAGTCTGCTACTTACAACTTAACAATCGCTATTCCCCTCTTTAACGGATGCTGCGTAATGCACATGAAATGACACTGCCATAAGTTATGCTGTCGTTGGACATTGTTCTGGACTCATAAATACTCTATGTATATGACCAAAATTGAAAAAAAATACATAGAAAGTTCAGTGTCCAGGGTTTTAGGAGATTCTGGGACTTCGGGCATATGCTGTTTAAGTCGGCAAGGTGTGACAGGACCATGAGGAATCGCACTAAATCAGAGGTGCCAAAGTTCAGTCCTCGAGAGCTACTATCCTGCAACTCTTTGGCTACGTTCACACTGCAGGCCTTAATGCTCAATTCCGATTTTTTAGTGAAATCGGATTTTTTTGCGTGTCCGTTCACACTTCCAAGTATATGCGACTTGTATGTGATCTACTGTGTGAACTGAAAGCGTTCAACCGAAGTGTCCTGCATGCGCACTCGAGGACGCGATGACGTCACATGTAGCAAGCGTCCTCAGTGTTTGCGGAAGTAAACATGACTCGTAATACCGCAGCGTATATTGCGTTCTTTAAGTTCTTCTCCAACAGGAGCAGGCACATTACGAACGAAATCTTTTTAAGAAGATCAAAAAGAAAGAGAGCCAGGTTCCGGTAAGACCCTTCGAGTTTGATCTGAATCGAGCTATCTTTCCAAATATGAATTAAGTCAGCAACCTCACTTTCTCTCCATTGACTGCTCTCTGTTATCTTCCGCCATGGTTGTTAGTTTTTCCCGCCTCCGCTTAGTAGGACGCAGATTAGTAACGTTTAGTAACATTTGTCAAGTATCAATGACGTGTAGGTCGGATGAATGCGACCTGGCCGTACAGACATAGGTCGCATTTGAAAAGATCAGATACGTATCGGATTCAGGACCACATATCCAAGTGGCCTGGGTCGCATTTGAAAAAATCCGATCTGTGTCGTTCAGACTGTCATAAAAAGATCAGATACAGGTCACATATGGGCAAAAAAATCGGAATTGGGTCACTTCAGGCTGCAGTGTGAACGTAGCCTTTGATGCGACTGTTTTTAACACACCTGAATCAAATGAGTGGCTCGTTACCATGCCTCTGCTGGGCTAAATGAGGGGATTGAGGTTTTAGATTCAGGTGTGCTATAGAAGAGATGCATCTAAGGTTACGTTCACACTGCAGGCCTTGATGTTCAATTGCGATTTTTTGTGAAATCTGATTTTTTTTTTGGCGTTGCTATTCACATTTCCAAATATATCTGACTTGTATTTGATCTCCTGTGTGAGCTGAATTCATACAACGCAATTGCCCCGCAAGAGCAGTAGAGCACGCAATGACATCACAAGCAAGCTTGCTCTATGTTTACGGAAGTAGACAATGGGTGGTAGTGCCGGAGCGCATCTAGCGATTTTTCCCAACCAAGCATTATCGTCGACCATCGTTGTCGTTGTTTTTGCCACTTCTGCGTAGCCAGAACCAGAATAGTGACCTTTGTTGGGTATTAATGGAGTTCAGGTCGAACGGATGCGACCTGGCCGTTCAGACACGGGTCGCATTTGAAAAGATCCGATTCGTATCGGATTCAGGACCACAGACCTCTAAATCCGGTTTTAGGTGTCAGCACGTCACTAATATGTTTAGGTTCTGGAAAACGAGCATAGCACATGGTGTCCTTACCTTGTTGTACATGTAGCAGTTGGAGAACATGGCCTTAAAGTCTTTCACACATTCACTGGCCTCCCAGTAATACCTGTTCTCCAGTCGCCTCTTGATTGTGCTGAGATCCATAGGATAAGTAATGATTTTATAATAATCCTAAAACACAGAAAAAGAAAATGCTTTAGTTCCAGCTCTCCTTTCTGATTCCTCCCCACTTCCTCCGACACCCTTGAATAAAATCCTTCCCTGACTGGTTATAAACTCGTAAGCATTTGGGGATCTTAGGTTTGGATGAGTCCATCAGGAAATCCTCACAAGCTGGGCATTTGCAAAACATACAGCACCTCTGGAGGAGCTGCACGAATCTACAGTTCAGGTGGAGTTTGCTAGTGTAGATTCGTTAGTGTGTTAAAAAAGAAACCAGTGGACTTTGTTTTCCAAGTTTGAAGATGTTTCGCTTCCAATCCAGGAAGCTTTCTCAACTCAAAATGTCTGGATTAGCGTTGAGCTCCAGGCTTTTATATTGTAGCCCAACAAAAGCCTCGTCATGGCTTAGAAAACATGCACAATATCTTCAAACTTGGAAAACAAAGTCCAGTAGTTTGTTTTTTAACTAACTTTTTGGAAGGAGTTCAGGTGGAGGACTCTGTTAAAAGCAAAACTTCTAGACTAGACTTTTCCAAGGGTTCTGCTGTGCAGTGATTGGCCATGGGAAGAAAAAAAACAGGCTTTGGATGAGAGCTTCCTGGAAAATTAAACAGAAGAGTGACTAAATGAATATAGAGTAGCATCATAAACTGAGTTAAATCTAACTTTTTCGAATCACAGATCATATACCAAGCCAGAATTTTTATAATTAAATTAAAAATGTACAATTACAAAACCCTTTTCAAATAGAATTTCTAATTGTATGATTTACATGTTAAAAACAAGTAGCTGTTATTGTTTTTCAGTGCCTCGTGGTCCTGCATTTATTAACAAATTAATAAATCGTCCCCAAAAGAAACATACCTGCGGCACTAATAGTTTGTACTTGTAAAAGTTCGGAAAACGTAAAAAACCTAAAGGAGGTTGAATCATTTCCAGATGCTGTAACAGTACAACACTGACAGGCGAACAACTTACAGGAAGACCCAGAGCGACCGCATCGACAGGCTGGCGAAAAGGCCACGAATACTGATGTTTCCACTGAGCTTTCATGACCACCTTCTGCAGGTAGAGCAGCTGATTGGTTACGCGCCCAGGCCTCTGGTGATTTATGACCTCTGGTGGAGGTGGATTCCCACTCATGGAGAAGCAGGCTTTCACGTCGGCCATCCTGTTTAAAAGCATGAACTGCATTCAGAGGGGGTGGGAGCACTGGCTGGAGACCACCTTACTGCAGCTCACAGCTCATCTTATACTTTCCTGTTGAAGACACAATAATGTAGCTCTCAGTGCTTTAATCAACCAATCAAGTGTGTTCATTATGCCTCCTTAAGCTTACAGTTCACTGAGAGAAATGTTCTGCATTTTCCATTAAAGATAAACGGTTGGTTAGTGGTAAAATAACCATTAACCAACAAACAGGAAATAAAGTAACTAACACTTTTAAAATAAAAATAAACATAATTTTAATTATAGAGACAATATGACAATAGTGAAATTATGAAACTGTATTGTTGAATGGAGGCTAAAAGAGCATTTTAATTCGGTATTAAGATCCATAACCTTAACTCTGACAAACTAAAGAAACAGCTTGGAAATAATATAAGACCTGATTAATTATTCAAGAGAACTTGGAATGGTTCATTTATTTAGGCAGAACCACAAATGGAGATAACATCTTAGCAAGCTCTTCTGTAGATGGATAATGGCGCCACCTACTGCATATTTTCAGATAGCAACAACTCACATGTGGACTTCATGTTTAGTCCCATATATTTCAAACTTTATCTGATTTAGCCTCACAGTACACCTGAGAAAATAAGGCTTTTTCCTGAATATCAAATCTGTATGAAGGTTAGCTGAATGCATTTTGTGATCATAAGCAATATGTAAATATTTAAAACATGTAAATAAAATGCTGATGAAGGTTCTCAGTCATCCAGGTCATAGTCATTCCGTAAAAATTAAAAAAATATCCACTGGACTTGGTTTTCAAGAACGTAACGTCTTCAAATCTTGAAAACCAAGTCCAGTGGATATTTTTTGAATTTTTACGGAATGTAAATAAAATGTTAACTCACTTGACTATAAGATTCCTACTGCAGGTATTGAGATGATTAAGTGGTGTGCTAAATAAAACTGAAACAGCCATCAAGACTGAGTTCAAATATTTAATGTATTGCTCATAAACTAAACATTCCACACTTAACATTTCCTTTGGGTAAGATGAGAGGATGAAGAAAGAAAAAAAAAACTTGATTTTTGGATTTTATTTTTCCATAAAACCAATAACAGGACCACAGAAAGCTCTGCTGGAACACAGAAGGATTCTGTAAAAAAAAAAATGGAGCCATGCATAGCACATTTGCAAACTTGCTCTAAATAAAGCATGTTAGCCAAGTTCGTTCATCAGTGTTTCTATGAAGTCCAAAAAGTTCAGTCTGCTGCTGCCCTGAGCCCAATTACTGCTTCATGTGGATCATTTACGTCTAACTAATCAAAATTAAGATGATAATATGAACCCATGTGTTTATTAAGAACACATTAAAACACAGGTGAAGGCGGCCACCCTACAAGTTTTTAAAAAAATCTGGTGCCATTCCCTGAAAAAAATCTTGGAATAAGTAACTTTAATTTAATGCTTTTTAATGCGCTTTTAATGTTCTTAGAAATAATTTCAATGCAATTAACAAGTATCCATGTCTCTCATATATATATATATATATATATATATATATATATAAATAAAACTGCAAAATCCCTCATCATCTTTACCATCCACAGGCTGCAACCATGACCCGAATTCCCCTTTTTTTGAAGCCAAATTTGTTGAAATTTGCATTTTCACATTCTCTAGCTTTTTCTCCGCCTCGACCTTCTTTTCCAAACAACATTTTATGATCAATAAAAAGCAGTTCCGCGCAAACACGCGAAATCATTTATATCTGATAAATCTGATGAAAATAACGCATTTTAAATGCCAGGATAATCACATTTAATTAATCTTAATGCCAATTAAGGCCTTAAGCTAACAAAATTATAATTGAATGACTTATTTTTGATGACCTGCGGAAACCCTGTTTTATTTCCAAAATGAAAGGCTGCTGCATGTGGTCAGTAGTGAGATTATGTATCTTATAAAAGCCGTAACACAAATTATATCCGCTCTGCCCAAACAATAGTTTAATCAGCTGTGTGTTGCCAAAGCCATGATGTGTTCTGCTCCCAGAACATCCAAAGATGTCTCTCTCCTCTCAATACCATCTCCTAGTGGCAACTCTAAACACTTATGACACCTCTGGAGGTCTCTGACACATTGGAGGAGTAGGACTGGTTCTAGATAGAAAGTTAAAAGTTCTTAAATTTGAAAGTAGGAGTAAATTCCCCTAAATTATAGGCATGTAGGAGTAAAATACAAAACAAAAAAACTGTTAAGTTTAAACAAAAACGGCCTGAGTTCTTTGTCTCCCAAACATACGATGCTTCTTACATTTAACTCAGGAATGGCTGGACACAAGGAAAGTGTCGTGGTAGACATTTGTAGGATCTATTAGCCCCAGTCCAAATTTCTCAAAATATATTAAATCTCTAAGACACTGAATTTATATTTTCCACTAATCCATGATAATCAAAATAATGGGGGAAAAAAAAAAGACTTTACATTTCTATTGAGGTTTCCCTTTTTGAGATAAGTTACCAAAATAAAACCTTTCACAACATATTTAGGTACCTGCAATTACTCCAGTGATCAAGTAATTGCACTTATGTTTTTGGAGCTGCTAATTCAAGGAGTTTTAATCATTTACAGTGCTTTATCCAGTTAAATCTGATTTAATTACCCTTTGTTAAATAAATTATTGTCTAAAATATTTATCAGTTTCAGATGCAGCAAACTTTATTAAAATTAATTCTTGGAAAACATTTGCAGAGATTAAAACAAGCAAATATGCAGCTAAAACATATATTGGTTCAGATAATTCTGCTTTTATTTTAGCGAATGAAAGCAGTATGTATTTAAGAGCTTCTCCTATTGCCTCCATGATGCAGCTCGGGTAAAGATGGTTTGCAGAAACAAATAAAGTTGTTTGAAAAAAGAAAGAAAAAAAAAAGCTCGGGTAAAGATGGGCGGTTGGCCTCACTGGGATAAACGCTTAATTCTAGAAAGAACCGACCTGTATGAAGTTGTACAAAAGAATCAATCTTATTGTTGATTCAATAACTTTTTTCAGACTTCTAAACCAACATGTTCTCAGGTTGAAGCAATTTACATCTCGAAATGCGCGCAAAAAAGAAACTAAAAGGTTTTCCAGCAGTGCTAACGTTGCTAACAGCTTGCTAGCATCGCCAATCTTCTACTGAATTAAATTTAACTTAATGCTTCCTTTGAACCGGTTACCTTGAACAAACTAGCTTATTTTCTCTGAAAAAACAACCAACGATCATTCTAAAAAGAGCTTTGGCCTGAAAACATTCTTATTTAGTGAGCCAGTGGTTTGCTACATACCTAAAGAACCTCTGAAATCCTGGGAGTCCCCCTGAGTTCAGCTCCTAACTGGCAGGCGTCTCCAGGGCCACCGCCTCATTTTTATAGCCTCTCCCTCCATAACTGATTTGTCTACGCGTGAGAGCTAGCCTCGCGCGCCCGATAATGGTTCATTTTAACGCTTTTGGTAATAAAAACACTGCTAGTATCGGTTGTTTCTATTAAAAATCGGGGCAAGCATAAATAGTTAAGCGGGAATAAAATGGCGGCTCCCCGTCTCCACCGGCTGGAGGAACCGCTGACTTCAAAGCTCCGCAAACTGAGCAGCGCGTGGCCTTGCGGGGCATTCCCTCTGGTCTGAGGAAACGCAAAGCAGGCCCGGGATTATAGCTTTCACACAATTAAAATAAATATTAAGAGGATATATTTTATTGCAAAACACCTAATTATTAGTTTTAATCCTTTATTTGGATAATTTATATTCAAAATTAAAACAGTTAATAATTTATCTTTCACAAGTTCACTGAAAGTACTCTGAACGAAAAACGGCCACCTTTATTATGTCTTTTTTTTTTCAAAAGCTGACTTCTTTTTTTCACAATCATATTAATCTTATTTATATGGAAGCCCATTTCTGCCACATGAAAGTTTAAAAATGCCAAATAGAAAATCATAATTTCACGCTTCAAAGTCATAATTATGAGATACAAAGTGATAATTTCATATTTCAAAGTTATAATTATGAGATACGAAATCATAATTTCACATTTCAAACTCATAATTATAAGATACAAATTCATAATTTCGACATTCAAAGTCATAATTATGAGATATAAAGTCATAATTTTGACATTCACAGTCATAATTTTGAGCTACAAAATCATAATTTCACGTTTCAAAGTCATAATTATTGAATACAAAGTCATCATTTTGACTCTCAAACTTTGAGAGTCGAAATGATTATTTCGAATCACATAAATATGACCTTCTAATTGGCATTTTTTTTACTTTCAAGTGGCGGAAACGGGCTTCCATATATTTAGCATATACAGTTTATTTAAGAATTTTCTTTTTTCGTGAAACCATATAAGACCTGAAGCACCCTCCATTTTATTTCCCAAGTATAATGGCATATTCGCTTTAAATCTGACAACATTTTAGTTATTGTTACAGGGGTTTTATTATGAAAGGACAGCTGATCCAGGATATAGGATGAAATCTGTATTGAGCAAGCCTGTCAGAGCCTGGTTTAATTGGTCTCATGGATGTGAGCCAAGCTGCAGGGAATCATCATAATCAAGCCAGGTTTGAGCAATCAAGATAAAGCAGATTTATTTTGAAAGGCGTAAAAGTCAATAATTGATTAACCGATTCTATCATAGAAAACTGCTTGTTTCATTACTTTTAACTTTTTTTTTACACCTTTGAGGTATAAAGGACTGATACTAAAAGGAGTAAAAACAAGGGAATTTTTCTTAATTAACACTTTGATTTAAACAAGTCAAAATTATCCAAAAGTATAAATTAATTCTATTCTATTTACAAAAACACTGCAAGGCAGTTAAGTTCTTTAAACTTCTGGTTAATACCCAGCAGGACTTCTGGACTTCTGTTTTTTTTTTCACATAAAGTTCTGTATCATAGTGGCCTAACCCTGGTTTATAGGATTTATTGTCCTACATGTTTTTAAATGTTTCCTGCTTCAACAAAACTGAGTCAGATGGTTAAATTATCTTCATGCCACCAAGTCCTCAAGAAGTTTGTTGATCACCAGTTCCATAAAACCAGCTTTAAAGCAACAGGTAAACGTCCCAAGCATAGTGGAGCCAAAATTCACAGCTGGGGACCCCCCCCCCACACACACTGTAAAAGATGCATATTGAATGGAATTTTGTCAGCTCTGTCATGTCAATAAAAACTTTTAAATTAATTTAACAAATTAAGCATAAGATTGTGACCACTGTCAGGTTTAGGGGATACAACAGATGACACCTGTCAGTAGATGGGATATAATAGGCAGCAAGTGAAAATGTTATTCTCAAATTTGTATTTTAGAAGCACAAAAAAATGTGCAAGCATATGATTTTAAGCAGATTTTATGAAGGCTAAACCATGATGGTTTTATCACTGGATCAGAGGTTCTTCAAATGGGAGACCTAAGCTGGTTTTCCTGAACAACAACTGCTCAGATTCCTTTATATGCTATTAGCAGAGGGAATAACAGTAAACATCAACAGGCTCAGGGCAACCAAGGCTGGTGGCAGTTATCACTCAACAAATGAGCTGCTAATATTAGATTACAGAGGAAAGTAAAGCTGTTCCAAAGCATTAAGATGATGGGCCTGTTTTTCAGTCTTTATTCCTGTTTCCTTCCTAGACATATCTATCGACTCAGCTTTTGCTGTGACCAGACTCAGACTGGGAACAATTTTCTGCCCTGGCATTTTTCCATCCACAACGGCCCACTTATGGACTGGGGCATGACATTTACTGCTGCTGCGTAAGGTCCACACTCACCACATCAGCAGGGTTTCCAGATGTCACCGATTCACGTTTTCCAGCCCAAAAAATGTTCATAAACCGCCTGCATATAAAAAATCTTGCCCAATTTTAACTAAAGTCTATTGATCTCTGAGTCCATAAATCTAAAGAAAACCATTTTTTACCCATAGACGTCCATCCGAAACTGCCAGATTGGGAAACATCCCAACCTGGCAACAATTCACGTAAGACAGGAAACGTTAGCCTTTAGATGCAAAACACCATCATGAGGCGCAACATATTTTTGCAAAATATTTAAACATAAATTTGTCAAATATAAAAGGAACATCATAGTTTGGTTTAATGAATGCATTTTAGTGGTATTATTTTCATTAATTTAGTTTGTTGCAAGGATTTTACAGTTTGAAAAAATAGAAAAGTCACAAGGATGTGCATGACAAGGAAGGACTACACTCACCGGCCACTTTATTAGGTACACCTGTCCAACTGCTCGTTAACACTTAGTTTCTAAGCAGCCAATCACATGGCGGCAACTCAGTGCATTTAGGCATGTGGACATGGTCAAGACAATCTCCTGCAGTTTAAACCAAACATCAGTATGGGGAAGAAAGGTGATTTGAGTGACTTTGAACGTGGCATGATTGTTGGTGCCAGAAGGGCTGGTCTGAGTATTTCAGAAACTGCTGATCTACTGGGATTTTCACGCATAACCATCTCTAGGGTTTACAGAGAATGGTCCGAAAAAGAAAAAACATCCAGTGAGCGGCAGTTCTGTGGGCGGAAATGCCTTGTTGATGCCAGAGGTCAGAGGAGAATGGCCAGACTGGTTGGAGCTGATAGAAGGGCAACAGTGACTCAAATAACCACCCGTTACAACCAAGGTGGGCAGAAGAGCATCTCTGAACGCACAGTACGTGGAACTTTGAGGCAGATGGGCTACAGCAGCAGAAGACAACACCGGGTGCCACTCCTTTCAGCTAAGAACAGGAAACTGAGGCTACAATTTGCACAAGCTCATGGAAATTGGACAATAGAAGATTGGAAAAACGTTGCCTGGTCTGATGAGTCTCGATTTCTGCTGCGACATTCGGATGGTAGGGTCAGAATTTGGCGTCTACAACATGAAAGCATGGATCCATCCTGCCTTGTATCAACGGTTCAGGCTGGTGGTGGTGGTGTCATGGTGTGGGGTATATTTTCTTGGCACTCTTTGGGCCCCTTGGTACCAATTGAGCATCGTTGCAACGCCACAGCCTACCTGAGTATTGTTGCTGACCATGTCCATCCCTTTATGACCACAATGTACCCAACTTCTGATGGCTACTTTCAGCAGGATAATGCGCCATGTCATAAAGCTGGAATCATCTCGGACTGGTTTCTTGAACATGACAATGAGTTCACTGTACTCAAATGGCCTCCACAGTCACCAGATCTCAATCCAATAGAGCATCTTTGGGATGTGGTGGAACGGGAGATTCGCATCATGGATGTGCAGCCGACAAATCTGCGGCAACTGTGTGATGCCATCATGTCAATATGGACTAAACTCCCTGAGGAATGCTTCCAGCAACTTGTTGAATCTATGCCACGAAGAACTGAGGCAGTTCTGAAGGCAAAAGGGGGTCCAACCCGTTACTAGCATGGGGTACCTAATAAAGTGGCCAGTGAGTGTATATGTGCTGCATGCATCATTTAGGTAGTTAACATTGGATTACTTCTTGAGCTCCTTCAGTTATTTGCTGTCACAGGTACAGTGTTGGGCACGTTACTTTGAAAAAGTAATTAGTTATAGTTATTAGTTACTTCTCCCAAAAAGTAACTGAGTTACTAACTGAGTTACTCCACAATAAAAGTAACTAGTTACTAGTAAAAGTAACTATTGCGTTACTTTTGCGTTTCTCGCCTCCCGTAACCCTCCCCACTCGGCCCCCACCTTCTCGCCGTGTGTTTCCAAAGCCAGCTGAATAGAGCGGACGACAAAGACAAGAACCTGCAGAGAGTTTAGCATTTATTGCAACTCAACGTAAATTACATCAGGGGGGAACGCCATGTGAAGTTTTTTAACAGGGCGTTCAGATCTGGTGAGTGAATGAAATTAATAACTGGGGATGTCTAATTCTGAAATCCTGTGTGTTTGGGTTGTTATAGATACTGAAACATCTATCTATCTATCTATCTATCTATCTATCTATCTATCTATCTATCTATCTATCTATCTATCTATCTATCTATCTATCTATCTATCTATCTATCTATCTATCTATCTATCTATCTATCTATCTATCTATCTATCTATCTATCTATCTATCTATCTATCTATCTATCTATCTATCTATCTATCTATCTATCTATCTAGATGTATACTCTGTGTGTGACATAAAATATGGATCTCCATCCCTGCCACAAAGGCCATCAAATAATGTTTAAAATAAAAAATACAGTAGGTTGAAAAGGCAGAGTATCCATCCATCCATCCATCCATCCATCCATCCATCCATCCATCCATCCATCCATCCATCCATCCATCCATCCATCCATCCATCCATCCATCCATCCATCCATCCATCCAGATTTCTCCCTTTCTCCAGGCTATCATTTGATCGTTCACGCTCTCCATAGTTCTCCTGTGGCGCGAGCACAGGGCGGCTGTTACGCGCCTTTATCAAGCATGCGCGTTTCCTGTCGCTTGCGCGGTGAATCGTGCCGCCTGC